GTGACCTGTGTGGTTTGGAGATGGTGGCTCTGACAAAAAGACAGCAGGCAAAGGTGGAGATGTTAAGTTTCACTGGGAGTGAGGAGGATGGAGAAAGATTAGAGTCGATCAGAGGGACGGCTCAGGTTTGGCAGTGTGGAGGCAAGGCTGAGATGGTTTGGACATTAGCAGAGGAAGCATAGTGGATATATTGGACGAAAGATGCTGAGGATTGAGCTGCCAGGCAGGAGGTAAAGAGGATGATGAGGAAAGGAGAAGTAGTAGCCGTATTTCAAAGTTATGAGCCGCCACGCCAAACAAGTGTGAGGCAGCACTGTAATGTGTTAGGGAGCTGGGATGCTGTAGGTACGGGTAAAATTTCCTTCTGTTTTTCTGCTGTGTATATATGAGGCTTTTAAAGTGACTATTTTGTTCCAGCAGGACTTTTAAGTGTCCCAGAATAGTGGTGGACTGTGTAAAGAAATGTCAAGCAGTGATACTTGTTTCAAAGGCCAGTGTTAGTTTAGTTTGAGTCTTTTTCTTTTCTTTAAAAGCTTTGTAACCCTGCTGTTCTTATTCTCATGCTTTAAGATTTTCTTTCCCCTTTTATTTACCTTGGCATATCTGTTTTTCACTTCCTTGTTTATTTTTCCTTTATTAGTAAAGGTACTGTGTTTTTTGCCACTAAGATTTGCTTGTAACTATGTTTTGTTTTGTTAATATGCAGGTTTGCAAGTGTGTGTGCAGGGTAGTGGTGTTGAGCTTGGTTGACTTGCATGTGTGGCTGAGGTCATGTTGTTTGCATATTGCACATTTTTATTTGTTTACAATTATGTAAATATCATAGCTTAATTTTGCGTATTCATGTACAGTTCCCTGACAGTGTGTACGCTCTTGCAGAGTATGAAAGCAACAGAGTTGTAAGTGTGGCCGTAAGAGTCCATTATGTTAAGTAAGACTTGCTGCCAGAATTCAAAACCAGCAGAACGGACGTGGTCATCGGCTTTGCAGGCGTATAACAGTGCTTTCAAGGCTTTGAAACTGAAGCACAAGTGTGGAACTTGTTATTGCCTTGTAAAGAAATAAGCTCCCTGAAGATGTTTGGTGCCCAGCAGTCTCAATTTCTGCATTGTGCAGTAATCATGGCATCACTAGGAGAAGTCATCAGGCCATGGGCGTGCTAGGGTTAAATCTTATTCTGTTTCTTTCTGAGAAATGATCAATGGGGGCAAAGCAGAGGGTGGCAACGGATTCACCTGGAAGCTTTGTGTTTGAGCGCAAACATGGCTATCGTAACGTTCTTGTTCCCTTATGGTTCTGTGCAGGTTCTCAGTTATCCAGGTCATTACTGGTGACTCTAGTGACCCGAATCTTTTTCATATGTTGACTTGTAGCAACTCTCACTTAATAGTGAGCTAACAGTGCTCAGGACCATCTGCTGGGGAAC